GCAGATGGCTATAGAGGAGAGCAAGAGGGAGACCGGGAGCAAGGAGGAGGTGAGTGCTCCCTCGTGTGCTCCGCCCTCGTGTGCTCCGCCCTCGTGTGCTCTGCCCTGGGGTGAGGGGTCCCCAGCTGCTGCCCGCCACCTGACGGAAAGAGGGCCTGGAACCATAACAGCAGACTGACCAGCTGAGGCAGGACATGGGCGCATCTGTCCATCTATACTGCTTGGCCAGATGCCATCCAGAGACCCTGTCTCTGTTAGACACTAAGGAAGGGTTGATGGTCGTTGCCTGAGCCTCCCCTGACCACGGTACAGAATACTTGGTCTGCCACCCCGTGCTCACAGCTGTGTGGCCGACTGTCTAGATCCCGCTCACTTCCTGGCCATGTGAGGTGGTTTTCTTATGCTTCTGCGTGTAGACAGGGTTAGGTCAGGTGGTCTTTCTGATGCAATGTTGTAGCTGCTGCATGCGGTGTTCTGTCCTGAGTGCCTTTATAACTCTGCATGCCCCCAGCCTAACCTGCTACCAGATCGGGCTCACAAAGAGTAGGTTTGTTTCCGAATGAATAGCCAATGAGACTGTTTTTTTTTTTTTTTTTATTTTTTTTTTATTTTTGAGTCGGTGTTTCATGTAGCCCAGGCTGGCCTTCAACTCTGTGTAGCTGGAACGACCTTGGATTTCTGATCCTTGCTTCTCTAGCCAGCTTGCTGGGATTTCTATGCGAGTGCTGCCATACTTGATTTTTTATGGGGATTGAGCCTGGCCTGGGTTTTGTGCATCCTAGCCAGGTGCTCTGCCAGCTCCAGCCTCCGGTCCAGTGGGACTTTCTTGCTGCTGTGGCTTTCTGGGTAGGCAGCGGTGTGTCCGCTCAGGCTGGCTTTAGTCTATGGAGGTCCTGCATCTGGCTGTGGGAGCCTCACTTGTTTCTGCCTCTGTCCTTTACACCCTGAGTGTAAGTGTGGCCACTTGGGGAAAGCTGGCTTGGCTGTCCTCTCTCTGAGCCTGGTTGCCTCGTGGGTACCG